ATTCAAGCTATTACAACTGGTATGTTACTATTGAGTATATAGTACTTTTAACTATATTTCTCGTTCATTCTAAACTTTCAATACTAAAAAAGTACAAGTTACTAAATTATTTTATGTACATCAATTTTTAACAATTCAAAGACACTTTTTCTTGTAAAATAAATAAATTTTTTAATTATCCTATACTTTTAAAGAATCAAATCAACAATAGATTTAAAAGCTGAAAAGAAGCCTGCTACCGCTGGTAAAGCTCCTGCAACCAAAGCTTTTTCTGAGAAGAAAGACTCTAAAAAGTCTATCGCTCCTGGTAAAAAATCTAAAAAATGCAAAGTTAGAAAGGAAACTTATTCACACTATATCTACAAAGTCCTCAAGCAGGTACATCTCGATACCGGTAGTTTCAACAAAGCTATATCAATCCTCAACTCTTTTGTCAAACGTATTTTCGGTGAAGCCTCTAAACTTATAGCTAGGGTTGTTAATAGAGTACTTCGGACTATAATAAAATATATAACCTGTTTCTAGAGTGCTCTGGAGTGGGTTATATATTTTAATATTGATTGGAGCACTCTATTAACAACCCTACTTGTGGCTTACAACAAAAGATCAACTATTGAGAAATTCAGACTGCCATACGTTTGATCTTACCTGGTGTTTTAGAATTTTGTTTTTTTTTTAAAAAATTCATCTCCAAAGTTTTCAGGAAAATAAAGAGTCAAATTTCTTATGAATTGGCAAAACATGTAGTATCTGAAGGAACCAAAGCCATCACTAAGTATACTAGCTTCAAGTAAAGGAAAATGATAAATCTCATTTAGAGGAGGATTATTTTTTTTTCAAGAATCAGAAGTATGAAAAAGATCTAATTACTGTATAGCGTAACCGGTTGATTGATTTACACTATTTGGTATACAATTAATTTTTATCATATGTAATCAATTTGCAACATTAATAAAATTATAATCAATTGCTTTTTAATCTGTTGTGTATCGATTAACAGCCTAATATCGATTCTTATCGATTTCCTAATCGATAATAATTGGTTCTGCTGATGATAATTGATATCCACCCTATTTAAAAATTTTCTGATATAAATAAAATTTCATCTGCTTGGTTGATCAAAAAATTTTGGTTAGCTAAGTTTACTATTACTTATTAATACCCTTCATTTTAACTTTTCGATCTTAAAATTTTAGATCAAAAGCTTTCTCTCTAATTCAGTATAAATGATTAATTAATTTATTCACATGATACTTGCAACTATATTGACTAATTGCATATAAAAATATCATATGATCACATAATGATTAGAAATTACCATCATGAGGGTATGAATATCAAATATGGAGGTATGATTACTAGCCCCTATTAATAATAATAGTGATGATAATAATAATAATAATAATAATAATAAATAGTAAAATAATAATACTATACAGCTATAGAACTACAAGCTATTAATAAAAAAATAGTAGCTAAAATATCTTGTATAAAGCTATTAAAGGGCTTTAAAATAAAAATAAAAAATAATAATAATAATATTATTATAATATAATCAATTTTCTCTAAATACAATTTGTGTAGTTTATATAAAAATTTTTAAAAAATTTTGCCTTTAGAGAGATATTGTATTTAGAAAGATAAAAATCTATAAGTGTATATGTAATAAAGATACATGCATTTATGAAGGTTTTTTATAGAATATCAGTTAACCGATTTGTCATATATTTTATATATACAGTATTTTTTATATATAAAATTATAGCAAAAATATATAGAATTACATATAAACTTTGTTGTGATAATATTTTTTCGTTTACATATTAACTTTAAATTAAATTTTACAAATAAATATATCAAAAAAAGATGAAAAAATTGTAGTTTAAGCTGAATTAAAATTTTGTAATTTTGATACAATTTAAAAATGTAACTTTGTCAAAAGAAAAAATTTAGCAGATTTAAAATAAGAATTATATATAAAATTATATTTTAAACAATCCTAATTAGAGAGTAAAGAAAAGCTATCTTAATAAAAAAAAGGTTTTCTATATACTAAGAGGCTTTCAGAAATTAGCTAATTAGAGTTTTCTAATAAATTGTTCAAATCTACCCCACCCCCCTTATCTGCTAGCCAATCAGATTTCATATTTATTAAAATATATAATTAAAAGAGTATATTTATTCCTCACCTAGGGTGAGATCTCACCCTCTAAATCTGCCAATAAATTTGTAGAATTATATGTAATATTTATGTAATAAAACAAAGAATTTTTTAAACAAACACTAATATCTCAAAATTTTGTCTATAAAACTATCTTTTGGGCTTTAAGAAAAAATTCTTTGCTAAATTTTACATATATTTTTTAACCCTAAAGTATCAAAAAAATATTTTTTAAAAAGTAAGTTAAAAATTTATCTAGGTAATAAATAAATTATCTCTAATTAAAATTATATATAATATTTAATATTGAATAACTTTTGATCTACTAAACCAATTTGGATAATTTAACTACTAAAATGATTCTCTCATTAAAAGGGTTTTAACAAATCTAAAATCACAAAAATCTAATTACTAGATACTAAGATAGAAAAAGTTTTGTATACTATAAATATGTTTTATTATATTATTATATAGTAATACAAAACTATTTCTTTTTTTTTTTTTTTGGTATTAAGGTGACCTCTTGGTTGTGTTGTACTTTATTATGTAAGAATATCATTATACATATTTGGAGAGTACATTTAGCCATATCTGCACTTTTTGAGCACCTATTTAAGTAGTCTGCCTATTGCTAGGTTCTACACTATTTGCTGTACCTGCAACCCAACTAGGGGGTTACCTATTTTAAACTCTCTGCACCTATATACTCTGAGGCTTTCCTATAATTGGCACCCTTTCTTCGATCTTCCAGAAACCAGTTTTTCTTGATGCAACTTATTACACATAACTGATCTAGGATTACTTTATGCTCGAGATAAACCTGGCAGAGCCTGCAGTATTCCCACTTTATACCCACCTAGCCTGCACTTTAGTTTGGTACGTACAGACTGAAGCCCACCACTTGCAGCTCAGTTTGTCCTATTCTGAGAGTGTGTGGTGCTAGGTCGAGATCTTTGCCTATAGTTGATTCCCCAACTTATACTTTCTCCTGCTTCCTTTCTATGATTTAATCTAGTTTTCGGCTAAATTCTGCTATCCAAATCTACTTCTGCCCTTGTAGAATTCACTCAAACCCCAGAACTTACTTCACAATATATCCCTAGTACTTTAGTAACCCGATTCCCTTTACCCAGACTTCCAATCCAGATAGCCTGGTATGTGTCACTTATTTTCCTTTGAGTTTGATAGCGATCTAGTTGGTAGAGGCATTTCTTTTTTGTCCAGTAGCAGGGGCCCCAACTCTGGTTTTCAGACTTCCAATCTAGATGGCTCGATAATTGTATACTTTTCCTTTGTTCTAGACAAGTACCCCAAACCTTGGTAGACCTTTCACCTTGCCATTAAGCTACATGTGTCACAGCTTCTTCATCTCGGTTTTTAGGTCCTCTTTCTTATTGCAGCAGCCTGGTTGGTGTGGACGCATCCTTAACACCCCATATTCTGTCCAGTTTAGTTTGCCAGGTTCGGTTTTCTGGATCTAATCTTTACAGTAGCTCTGTCGAAGATCTGTGCTACCTTTCTACTCAGGACTTGCCAAGCGGGCTTCTGTATTTGCAGTTCTCTAGATTTACATAGCCTGGGAGCTTATCTTGTATTTGCACCGCCCTAATGTCAGTTTGCATCTCTTTGTATAATATTACACAAATACTCCAGACCTCCCAGTCTTGCTAGTGTGACCGTAGTTACAGATATCCTATCTCAACTGATCAAACAAATATAGTTAGCCATAATACAAGCAGAATTTTCAAATGTTCATCATCGGTAGGATTCGAACTCTTGATCTGCCGCTTGGGGGTGACAACTTGGCTACTTCACTATATCACTACACCTTATACAAAACTATTTCTATCTTAGCATCTAGTAATTAGATTTTTATAATTTTGAACTTGTTAGAATCCTCTTATTAAGAGGATTTTACCAAATTTAAAATCATAAAAATCCAATTACTAGATGCTAAGATAGAAATAGTTTTTTTTTTTTTTTAATATTAAAGTGACCTCATGGTCAGTTGTCTTTATTAGTTTATATGCTAAACTGATCGAAGTCAGCTGCTACTCATTTGGTACATGGTTTTAGAGAATACAACTAGCCACATGTATAATTTTTGATTACCTATTTAAGTAGTTCGCCCGAAGGTTCTACACTAGATGCTATACCTATAATTCAACTAGAAGATTACCTATTTAAACTCTCTGTGCCACCATATCCTTATGAGAAACCAATACATACTATAGGAAGCGCCTGACCTAGGGCTAATTTACCCTCGAAATAAACTTGCTAGAGCTTTCAATACCCAAAATCCGGCTAACCTAGACTTTGGTAACTTATACCGAGTCTGAAGACAGCAATTTGCGAGCTGAGACCGGCCGCTACTATTATTTACTTCTGCCCTTGTAAAGTTCATCCAAACCCCAGTACATATTTTACAGACTATTATTAGTTTTAATCCTGACAATTCCAAACTACCAATCTAAATGGCCCAGAAAGGCTGTGGCCTGCCCTGGTCACCACAGTTGGGTTCTTTTCCTCCGGTTACTCTTCTAGCAGCCTGGTTAGTACTAGGTTGTAATATATATATATTACAACCTAGTTACATTAAGTTGTTACCTAGTTATGGGTAAAGTGTTGCCTAG